GTCAATTGTCCCAAGTTAATTTATTCTTTGCATATGACCCACATAAAAGTCGCTTTTTTTGACCAAAAATAATTGACAACATGATTCAAATGTATTTGGAAATGGCCAAGGCTGTCCCAAAAAAGAACAAATTGGAAGATTTTAATACCAGATTTCTAGATCTATATATTAAGGATACTCTATTTATCATGTGGTAGTATCATAATGGTAGACAAATTGATCAACAGAAGAAAGGGAGTCCAGAAATACACATCAACACCCAGATCACTTGTTTTATGCACTAATGTAATTCAATGAGGAGTGAAAATTTTTTCTTAAATATGGTGAAATAACTATTGGATTTTGGTATGACCAACAAAATGGAAACCCAGCCTCTTTGTCATACCAAGTAGATTAACTGAAACTGGATTGTGGGCCTAAATATAAATCATCTAAGAGAAAAGATAGTGTTATACCTTCAGTCATTCATGATAAACCAATATTTACTTAACAGATTTCAAATTATATTTCAGTAATAACTTAAATTTCGAATCCATCAAAAAACATCACACACACACACAAGCCATAGATTGAGAGAAGACATTTGCACTACATATATTGGATAAAAGACTAATATGTATTCCATATAAAGCAGTTTCATAAACCAAGAGAAAAAAATAACCCAACTTAAAAATTGCAAAAAATCACCTAATAAACCTATGCACAAAGTGTTCAGTTATCACCATTCATCAGTGAAACTCAAAAGGGAAACACATTAAATATCACTACACATTCAGAGAATGACTAATGTCTGAAAGCCTCGGTGCATTTGTTAAGAATAGAACATTAAAAGGATTCAGAATTTGAATAAATAAAAAATGATTGATAATTATACGTGCATAAAATTCAAAAATCTCTTCCTCAAAAAATTAACGTGGACTCAAAAGTCTAATAATAACTTGGAAAATATGTCTAATTTATATCACAGAAATGTAAAATGAAAAGTGATAATCTCATTATTTCTAAACAAAGGAAAAATAATAGCAAAAGGGACTAGTCTCTTAATCAGAAAATTAAGAGAGAAAAAAACCCAAAACAAATGTCCCTTAAATATCTTAAATGCAAATAAACACATTCAAAATAATAAAATGCACATTAAAGTTATACAGAGGTCCATTTATTATCTACTAAACAGGAAAGATAGTCAAAAGTTGACAATATTCTCACTTGACAAGGCCAAGAAAAAGTAAGCTCTCTAGAACATTACAGGATACCATATAAGACCCCTGTGAAAAATAATTTGAAATACCTAAGAAATTATCTCATGATCCATTAATTTCACTTTGAGCAGCGTATCCTGACAATATGTCCACAAAGTGTATTCATCATATTGTTATCTGTAATAGTAAAAATATCAAAATGGTCTAAGTGAGATACATTCTAAAATGAAAATAACAAGGGACAGATAAATGTGTAAAATAATCTCTATAAAAAAGAGATTAATAGGGTGCCTGGGTGGCTTTGTCAGTTAAGTGACTGATTCTTGAGTTCAGCTCAAGATGGAGCCCCATGTTGGGCCCCACACTGAGCATGGAGCCTGCTTAAGATTTTCTCTCTCCCTCTCTCTCTGCCCCTTGACATCTATTTGTGTGCTCTCTCTCCTTCTCCAAAGAAGAAAGAAAGAGAAAGAAGACGGAAGAAAGAAAGAAAGAAAAAGGAAGGAAGGAAGGAAGGAGGGAAGGAAGGAAGGAAGGAAGGAAGGAAGGAAGGAAGGAAGGAAGGAAGGAAGGAATGAAGAAAGAAAGAAAGAAAGAAAGAAAGAAAGAAAGAAAGAAAGAAAGAAAGAAAGAAAGAAAGGAAGGAAGGAAGGAAGGAAGGAAGGAAGGAAG